AAGTAGAATTAAAAGAATATGAATCTTTCCATGAACTTTTTAAAAAATACCCTTGTAAATCTAGGGTTGTGGGCAGTTCAGCAGAATCGATAAGTGTAGTTAGTTCGGAACAGCAGATTTGGGGAATGCAGGAGGGTTCAAACAGGTGATTAAAAGGGATTACAAGGGGCTAGTTAGCCTGCATTTTCTGGAACCTGTGCTAGTGCTTTGGAAGTGGGTCATAGTAATCAACAGCAAGCATTGCCACATTGGATACTAGAAGGTCAAAGAGGGAAGCTGGGATGATCTTGAGGGAGGGTCCTACGGGACTTGGGTGAAGCAGGGAATGGAAGGGGAGGTAGATGAAACACTGAAGCTGCCTTCGGAAGAGTCAATTCTCAGGAGATGCAGGAGCCACCATCTTGGGGCTACAGGTAAAGACTTGGTAGAATTGAGAAGGGTAAGATGAAGCAATAGACTTAGATTTGCAAAGCTAGCAGACTAATCTGGGAATCCTTTCAGGTTTTTTTGAAGTAGAGACTACTGATGATTGAGGACGTCAGGTTCTGGGACTATCCCTGAATTTTCCTAATCACATTGAAATTACTCAGCTTCCTTACAGTAGTTGCAATAATCACCTGTTCCTTTTAAAGAAAGTTAACCTTTTTTCAGTGGACTCAGGACTCTTAATTTCTGTACTATTTCACTTTCCCAGTTGTTCTTCCCACACCCTAGAGATCCTAAACCACAAACTGGTATTCTTAAAATTTATTTCACCTTAAGTACATGTTCTCTCACTTGCCAAAGCCACTACAATAGTTCCATGGAAATTACCTTAGAAATGGAACGGACTGCTCCTGTGTTCCAGGGGAACAAGCTTTGCTGAAGGGTTCCTAGGTCTTTTAGTACTGCTTGCTGGCACAAAGTCAGTCCCGACCAGGTTGGTAAGTGGCTGGCAGTTAGTCTTTAGGTAACCTAATCCTTAACTTGATAGATGCTGGCTGTAAGCTACAGATTCTGCACAGAAACTAGCACTTAGTTGGGAGATTTCTCTGCCAGCTGTCAAGTACTTTCCCAAGTAGTTCTATACTCAAGAACAGTCAAGTCATAGTCATCTTAAATGTGGTTAGGCAGAATAGTTGGGTGATGAAAGGTTTTAGCTAACCTGCATACTGTACCTAAACTAGTTTCCAAAAACACTGCCTAACCTGAATACAGAATGAAGGCTAAATTGCTTTCCAGTTATTATTGGCTTTGGCATTATTTTTAAAAGTAAAGCAATAGTGTATTTAAAAATGTAATAAAACCACCAAGAAATGAAACCATGAATTCAGCACTGTTGGATTTCAGTAATGTCTGGGCATATGGGGTATGTAAAGAGGCAATGTGTGAGAAAGGGCTGGGATGGAATCTGATAGTGTAGAAAAATTTTCTTTAACCAGAAACACCGAGCCCCAAGTCATCGTCTTAGGATGAACCACATGAAATTGCCGATAGGCAACCATTTTTGACCTACAATAATGGAAATTTCATTTGGTTCAAACATACATTTCAGATCTTTGTTTTTTCCTTATAATGAGCCATAAAAGTTCAGTTCATAATATACCAAAGTTAAAATTTCATTGAGGCCTAGATTACAATAGTAGAATAAAAAGTAAATGAGTCCAGGTAGTCAGATGTTCCTTTTTATATTCTTACGTAAGGGAACAAATCTTCCCTAGCTGTAGAACTCTAAAACTGCTATAGTTACCACCCCATAACATTGTCAGAGAACCCACCTGCTTTCAGTAATGTTTATATTCCTATCCTAAGTTGACCCAATTTCCCTCTCATTTGTGAAAATGGCTGTAGTTTTATTATTTTTTTTAAAGATGACCGGTAAGGGGATCTTAACCCTTGACCTGGTGTTGTCAGCACCACGCTCTCCCAAGTGAGCCAACCGGCCATCCCTATACAGGGATCCAAACCCGTGGCCTTGGTGTTATCAGCACCGCACTCTCCCAAGTGAGCCAGGGCCGGCCCTAAAATGGCTGTATTTTAATTCTAGAATTATAGCCAAAGGGGGAAGAGCAATTTTACTGATAGTACTTATTCTACCGATTTGTTCTTAAAGCCACAGATTCTTGGCTAACGTCCCTCTCCCAAACTTTCTTTTAACCTTTGACCACTAATATGTCAGCATTTCTGCTTAGCGATTGGTATATTATAGGATGCAAACCATCTTAAAACAGTGATTTATAAGGCTTTTTTTCTTCTAAATTAAATCAGATCATTTATCCTAATCAGCAATTTATCAAGAATAAAGTGATCAGTGATTTAGCCTTGACCTTAGGTACTGAAGAATTAAAGTGGATGAAAATACAGCAATACTATAAGGATTTAGTGAGAACTGCTGAAGCTGAGTGACTAGGCCCTTAAAGAAACCTTACAGTGATATGGCATATTTTTAACCAAAATCTAAGCTTGAAAATAGCACATTAAAGTCAAGTTATGTGGCTTGTTTTAAGTCTCCATGTGTACAGCAACCCTAATTCTAGTTCCTGTTTTTCCATTTTCTTTGCTGTTTAACTGCTGAAAACCTCACATGTTCTAATTCTACACTATTCCCGTAATTCCTCATTGGTACATTTTACCTAATTTTATCTTTTAATGTGCTTTCCTCTCCCAGGCACAATACAAACTATTTGAAGATGCCATCTAATGTACTACGCCTTAAAGTCACTGTCTAGCCACAGTACTTAAAGTATAATAAATTATCTTCAGGTTGAAAAGCACATAACCACAAGAAATAAATTACTTCATCTTAACTAGAGGTGTGAATCAAACCAACTTACGGTCAGTTTAAAAATGCTTTAAGACCTATCAGGAATGCCTTAAAACATTTAAATTAGGCAGAGACATAATGCTATGTGAACGGAAGCGTTAAAAACACACTGGCCATATTTTAATTAAAATAGAGTTTATTAGCTTTCTTTTAATATAAACATGAGAAAGAAAAAAAACACGTTAAGTTGTAGTATTCTTTTCAAAATAAAACTGCAATCAATACTTGAAATCACATTAAGTTGTAGTATTCTTTTCAAAATAAAACAGCAATCAATACTTCAATCTCCAAGCTCTGAACTCCATAAACCATGTTTTTTTGAGGTGGTAGATTGTAATATTTTATATTCCATTATTTGTCATTTACTTTTGTCCTTTAAAAATTTTGGAACCTGCAGCACTCAATATAAAGTGAAGCATTGCTATATTGAGAGAAGGTATTCCTGGCCCAGAAATGCTTTGTTCTGTTACAGGCAAGATTGCCAGGACTACATTTGAGATGGTAGGGGAAAGAGATTTCATATAGTTGAGAACACTACTCTTTTGTAATATTTCAAATTTAGGTGACATTGTTATGAACCTCCTGGAATTATTTACTCCCTGCCCTTTAAAGCCTGAAGTAAGGGTTCTTAAGGTTTAAGTAAGTTCCCTCTTAAATAGGAATTGAGATGGGGCAGCTATAGCCAGGTTAACATGTAGGATAAAAAAGATACCTTATACTATTAGGGTCCAATTCCTTTCAATTTATTACATGTGAATTAACACTGCTTTTCATATCTTCCTTTACCAAATCTAGAGAAAAGAAATTTAGGTGATCAAAGCAGATAAACAGAGCACAGCCCTGCAAAGTACTTTAAAGGGAGGAGGGCACTTCTATGGAAGTACAAGGTATCCCAAAAGTCCTAGTGCAATTTTAAGCTTTGATACTTGTAGAAGTATAAATGCTAAAAACTTATAAAACATCGTGTGAAAGTTAATTGCATTTCTTTGAAACTTAGTTTTGCAAATTTTGATGATTAAGCTTTTAATTTTAATCGTTTGTTGCAGTCAAGGTCTGCTATCTTCAAGAGGGACTGAAACAAAAGATTAAAATTAAAAGCTTAATTTTAATTTTGGAAAAATATCAATCTATAATTTTTAACTATATAACTTTTATGTTTTTTCTATTTTTCTTCTCCCCTTCCCCCAGCATTGCTGCATATGCCTTTAAAATCAATGCAGTATTACCCTTAAAACATGGGACTCAACAACCCATACAGCCACGTAGGAGCAGACCGTAGCAACATTAGGTATTGAAGGGTTCCTCCTACTGTATCATTGAAGCTTGTTCTTGTTTCAGTCTTAGTTCAGACCCTGACTGCAACAAAAGATTAAAATTAAAAGCTTGATCAAAACTTACAGAACCAAGAAAGTAAAAGAAATATAAATAAACTTTCAAACGATGTTCTGTCAAATACTTCTGCTGCAGTGCCATGGAGGGCCCAAGAACACTATATTAAAGCTTAAAACTGCACCAAAACTTTCAGGACACCTTGTATTTTTCTATCTTCTTGTTTTCACTGGACCACCATGTTGGTTGGCATTATGAAAATATATTTTAATATATTTATTGGCAAATTATGAAAGTTGAGAAGCACCATTATAATTCACAAGAAATGCAGCATGGACCCAACAGAAGTAGAAACTTGATAATTGATAATTCCTCTGTTTATGACTACAAAAAAGCTCAAATACTAGTAAGTAGTGCTTGCAAAGATTATGAGTGACAGAGTGTTATCCAGCAGCTTTTTGATTTAAAATGATTGCCAATAATGACTAGCCGCTTCAATGATACAGTAGGAAGAACCCTTCAATACCTAATATTGTATGGTCTGCTCCTATGTGGCTATACAGGTTGTTAAGAGTTCCATGTTTTAAGGGTAATACTGTATTGATTTTAAAGGCATATGCAGCAATGCTGGGGGAAGGGGGCAAGAAAAATAGGAAAAATATAGAAGCTATAAAAGTATAGATTGCTTTTCTTCCAACCAAAAGGCAAGGAATCGGTGGAATTCACAGAGCCCTTCCCAGAACAAATGAGTTCTGGCAGCTGCTGAGAGGGTCTTTATTGTTGTTTTTTTGTTGTTACATTTTTTTTTTCTTTATAGTATCCTTAAAGCCTAAAAATTTATATAATTTTTGGTTTTTAGGGGTTTTGTCTTTTAAAAAATTTAAACAATTAATTAATTTAAAAAACCTCACATAGTTCACAGCTATTGACCTGCAATATCTGTGTGTGGGTTGGGAGCTTTTGCTTTGGAGTGGTTCTTGTAACTCTGTTTACATTAAAAAGGACAGAAGAGTGTGTTGTTGCATTGACAATGTCCCATTCTTTCCTATGGAGTGTAATCCTCGTTGTCCATGAGTCTCTTGAATTCGATGTCTTTCCTTTTGGTAAAAATACTAACTTGCTGGTTTTTGAGCAGGAGAGGTGATATTTCTCCAGCCTTTGTAGATGAGGGATTCATAATGTTATAACCCCTCCTTTCTCCCTTTAAGAGAGGATGGCTTTAGAGTGCTGAATGCCAATGAAATTATCAGCGCTTAAAGACCTTCTCATAGCAGCTCTGCACAAGTCATTGTATTTGTTGTCGCACAATCTGGAAATAGCCTAGGAAAGGCAATCGAACAGAACACAGACACAATTTTAAAAAGGGTTCCAACCTTTAAAAAAGCACCGTTGATGACAAGCCACACATGCACACTCCTTTAAATAAATAGTTCATAGTTACAGCTACCTTGGCTATCTCATAGCTATACTCCAGGTTCTGGGGATGTTACTTCCTGCCTATTCATTAAAGTAATATCCTTTTGAGGGCCAAGATTATGACTACCAGAACAAAGGGGAACTTAATTTATTAAGCTACTTAAAAATTGGGTTTCCAAAGATGTTAAAGGTATTATGACAGGCTCTTAACAGCAGTTTCATCTATTACCTGTGCACTCATTCCTTAATAATGAGTTCACTTGTGCAAAAACATCAGTATTTATTCAGCTATGTAAATTCTACCCAATCTTCATTAGTCATTACATACTCTAAGTAAATTTTAATGAAGCAGGTGTGTACTGGAATCTATTGGAGGGTAGGAGAGGTCTAATACTGAAGTTCCAAATGGTGCTACTTCATTTGAACATCAACTATGATAGAAAAATGTATTATTCTAAAGTACGCCAAAATTAAATATTACTTTGGCCCATATAAGTTATCATTTCCATTAAAAACCCATGTACTTCCTACATCCACTATTTGAAACACACATACCTTACACAGTCTAAGTATAGGTCTCTTGGCTTAGCTACTAATGCTTTGTCTGATAAACTCATGGGACTGAACTGTGATATATAGAGTAAACACTGACATGAATTTGCAAACTGGGTAAAAGACAGTCAAGAGTGATAAGTGAATTATTTATGTAGATATAATTAGGGATATAATCACAAGAAATTATTCGTGTGTATGTGGAAAAGTAGGGGTTCAAAAGGAAAACCATAAAGAACATATTAAATTTGATTAAAGATATTCTGAACTACAGTCACAGAAGAGATAATATCTACAATTTTTTTTAATAACGTGGATCCTTGTATACACTATAAAAGACACAGGAAATATGATACCAGAGGGCTAATAAGCTCTTCAATGTGTGAACTTAAAAGCTTTCCATTTTCCTAATCATTACTTAATATGATTTAGTCACAGATGTTGACTTTGGTGGCTGACGGAAACCCCACTTAATGATTTCACAACCTTACCTCTAGGTTCTGTGCTCTTTCTTTGCTAAGAGGAGCAAATAGAAAACACAGGTTGTTGTCATCGGCTAAGGAACGAAGGTCAAAGTAGTATTTGGCATACACACTGGCAGGAACATTAATATTAAATTGAAGTAGCTCCAAAAATTGCCTTTCCATCTCATTCCTGGGGAAGGAACACAACACCAACATAGGACAATTTTAGTCAACTGGGTTATCTTCAAAAATATCATTCTGAGCTACCAGGATGGCTCTAAATTCTGTTGTGAAAGAAATAAAGGGCTACCCAGCTGGATTAATACGCTAATGTTCAAACAAGGTGCAGCTATTGGTGGTCCATTCTGCATCCCAACACTTTTGAGTTTGGGCTGAGGGGAGGAGGTTATGGCCCTCTTGTGCACTCGTGCTGCTGGCTCAGAGGCTTATTCTTCAGAGTTCCATTAGTGCAGCTGTACGATTCATACTCCACGCTCACTCACAGGGCCCCACTATAGTGATCAGATGAAAGGAATGATGTATGCTGTTTATTAGCTCTGAAGAACTTGCAGACATTTTCACCGGGCTGATAACAGGAAGGGGCTTATTGAAGTAAAGACGCGCCAACAAAAGGAATGGGCACGTCACCACGGCAACAAATGGATCCATCGAGAGCCAGCGCTATTATCTCTGAGGGGGAAAAACTCTTGAGGCATCAAGGATTCATCTCAAATAAGTAAGTAAATAAATAAATAAATAAGCTACATTTGATGGGAAAGGGAATCCCTTCCCCCTGCCCCAGCACATGAGGCTATGTTAAAGGGCATAATGCAAGTTTCTGCTCACCTTAATATTCCTAAGGTGAGAAATAGTCACTATGACAGGCAGGCAGGGATACTCTTTTTAAACTTTGGAAGGCAGAAAGTCAAAGATAGAAGTCTTGGGGCCAGCCCGTGGCTCACTCAGGAGAGTGTGGTGCTGATAACACCAAGGCCACGGGTTCAGATCCCTATGTAGGGATTGGGCCAGTTAGCTCACTTGGGAGAGCGACAACACCAAGCCAACGGTTAAGGTCCCCTTACTGGTCATCTTTTAAAAAAAACCTTAATTGGGCCGGCCCGTGGCTCACTCAGGAGAGTGTGGTGCTGATAACACCAAGGCCATGGGTTCAGATCCCTATGTAGGGATTGGGCCAGTTAGCTCACTTGGGAGAGCGACAACACCAAGCCAACGGTTAAGGTCCCCTTACTGGTCATCTTTTAAAAAAAACCTTGGACTCATTGTTTCTTCTGTGAATGAAAGCCTGAGATGCTCAGCATCTACCACCCTTGCCAGAACAGAATGTGAACACACATGCAGGGGCAAGTTTAATACAGTGGGAGAGGAAAGGGCTGGGAGCAGTCCTCTGCTACAGGACCACACAGGTACCCCTGCCAAATGTTTAAATAAACAATTATAAAATTAAAGAGTAAATCTTACCACTTTCACAGCAATCCCTGTAGACAGTTAATTGTATAAAAATAATACCTGAACTACCTATTTGCTTTCCTGGTTTTAAAGTTTTAATATTTTATCCACTGGCTAAGTCAACAAATGCTTGATGGTCTCCTATACGGAGAAAAGTTAGAATATGAGCAGATGTGGTTTTCTCATTTGTTGAACTTAAAACACAACTGAACCTACTTCCAAAATTAATTTCCTGTTCATATGACCGTAAGTCTATAGAAATGTAAATCAGATGTTTTGATAGTCAGTTAATCAGGCCTTAATTTACTCCAAGAATAAATGCACTTCACTATTCCTTTTATATTTTCTCCACTAATACATTTTAACTATATAGAAATACAGTACTTCATAGGATTAACATATCTATTAATAGAGGTTTAATCACTGAAGAAAAGCATTATGCCTACAGAATACTCATCTTCTGGAGTTTTTGTTTTTTAAATAGCTAGATGGCTGAATAGCATACCATTTACAGGCACAGCAAATTTTCTGAATAGCAGCTGCTCAGTTTAACTTATTCTTTTGAAGGGAAATATATTCTAGTAAGACGTGTAGGTGTTAGGGTTTTAAGAAAAACCTGATAGACACTGATTTTTAAATTTTTCGATTTACACTCAAAATGAGACCATTTCAGTCAACAGCAGGGGAATGAGACAAATGCGTATTAAAATACTTTGTTGTAATGCTTTCCAATTTCCAAAGACCATAGCCAAAAGCAGCCTGTTAAGAACATAGTTCCTGGTGTCCTTCTGTTCATACACAAAAAGCATTGTTCGGAAATGTCTGGTAGCTAGCCTCTGCCACTGCTGCTCCTGGAGCTCACATCTGTGGGAACCTACACATTTCTCTGCAGGTTCTCTGATCTTTTAACTTGAACCAGAGCCTCAGCCAGCTTCGTTGCAGGTTTTGAGAAAACCTGGCATCATGGCAAGGCTAGTGTTCATGGTTACAAATGCTTCCTTCAAAGGGCCAGTTTGCAGACTGAAGACAGTAGCAAACAGTCATTTAGCTTCTGCACCTTCCAAAAGTACTTCTATTTTTAAATTCATTTGCTGTCACACCCTTCGCCTAGCTGGCTACCAGCAATATCACCACAACCACTCAGTTTAAACTAATGTCAAAGTGGTCATTCTCACCAAAAGCCACTTCAACAGCTACCAACAATCACTGGTCCCTTAATCACAAATATTCTCACTTCACTGTAAATACACAGTTCAGTAATTCTGAATGACAGTCTTATCTGGAGTAATGGGCAAAGGTAACAAAAACAAACTCTTGCCCCTGCCTGACATGATCTTGATCTTCCTATGCTACTCAACATAATCAAGAAATGTGCCTTCATGTTTTCCTAAACGCCACCACAAAGACATTTTCACTGTCAAAGTGGGCACTTTGAGAGTCTCTGCTGGAAAAGCCTCCCTGGTTCATCCTGCCAACCTGCAGGGCCGTTCCCCTCCCAGCAGTTGGGGAGGCCAGATGGGAGGGAAGCCCTGGTGAAGGTGATGCTTCTATACCACGTTAGCGTGCCACGATGCAGCAAGGCTCCTTGCACTCTCAAGACTTCCAAAGTGCCACTGTGGTTGGCTGAGTGCCTCAAGAGACTTGAGCACTGGGTGATGCCCCAGCAAGGCTGCTCAGACTGCCTGAGGGGTCTGGAACCTCTAACTCATCAGAACTATTTCCAAACACACACAATACTCCTAATGGGGACGAGGCAGGAGCACAGAGGTCTGAAACCTTTATATGTGCCATTTAATTTTGTATCTCATGGTTTCTGTAACAACAGATCTTCATATAAAAAAGGGGAAAAGACCAGCAAAAACAAATATACAATGGATGACTCAGGGTGAAGCTATAATTCTCAACAGTCCAGAGGCCCTAAGACCTTAACAGTGGCCACTTTTTTCAAAGGGCAGACGTGTGCCCCTTAAAAGGGGTCTAGAACTGGTAGACAGCTTTTAAAAAACCACAAAGACATTTACTGCACTATGTTGTTCTGGTAGTAAGCTTATAAAATGTAAAAATGACCAGGAAAATACTTTTCAATTTATCAAGCAGATTCTTATAACAATAACATATCAAGACCTACGAATTAATGATAAAAAATATGAATTATCATACTAAAGCTGGATAGAGATAGTATGTAGCTTTATGTCTATTTCTGTTATCTGCACAATGTAACCTTTAAAAATATTTCTTAAAATGTAAACTTTACGGGAGCAAATGAGGTATTGGAAAATAGTTAGAAAGTTCACCAAAACCTTACAAACTCACATGTCCTCAACTGTAATGTCCTTGAGGATCTGGCAGTAGTCCACATTCCATACAGCCTGATCGTCCCAAACCTTGGAGGCAAGAAGAATGGCTCCCAAGACAATTCTTTTCCAGTTAGTGGGACAAATGTCGATCTCAGCATAAGTTAAAAGCCTTTCTAAGTAAACCTGCAAAAGTAGAGCACTGGTCTTTGATTTTAGTTCAGTTTAAGTGCCGTGATAAGAACTGTTATGAATCAAAGATTTCTTGTTTTTGACCAGAAAGTGAGTGTCTTTTATTCATATGTTCTATAGAGATGTGGCTCAGTCAGCCAAAGCAAGAGGCCATATCACATCTCTAAGTCAGACACCTCTGCTGCCTACTCTGCCCATGCAAATTTCCAACCCAATCTTAGTCACAGGAATGACTGGACATCTCAGTACGGGCATCAGAAAGAGAGGCAGTGCTACCACCGTCACACTCACAAAAGGCAGCATATACAGGCCCAGTGTCGATTAAAGTTGTTCAAAAATACTTGAGGGCTTCCCACAGGCAACATTCCGTATCTAGCTGGGAATTATATGGTGATTTTACAGGTATGTCATGCTTGAAATGTAAAACCCAAGTAATACTGAGCACATTTTTGCCTTCCCTTTTTCAAAGGGACTCACCCTTTTGTGGCACTAGCCTGAAAGGAAGAACTGGTGGTCAAGAGAGCCTCCCAGTGGCTGCTGTGCAGAGCAGCAGGACAGGCGTAGGCCTGCGACTGGGAGGTATTCCTGCGTTCAGTGCCTTTATGAGGAACCCACGGGAACAAAGGATGGTCCTTCTCATAGCCCCTAGTTTTCACATCACCAGGATCACTTCATGACAATTCATTTTCTGTCTCACCTAATCTGCAACTTAATCAATTCTATCGGTTTTAAGGCGGTAACAGAGCTGCCAGTCTCTGTATCTCTGGGACTCCTCTAAACCTGCCTGGCAGTTTGTGAAACAATGTCATGAATTATTTTACAGAAATCAAACATCTACTCTACAAAGAGCTGGGGAAAGTTACAGTTGAGTAAAGATTATAGATGTAAACTGTGATTTGCCGTTACCTCAAAGGGTGCTGTGCAAAAGAGTATATGTTATTTGAATTCTTTGTATCAAGACAAAAAGAAAAAAGTCTATTTTTAAAGAGTATATCTACTGTCTGAAGGTTATCAGATTGACAGCTCAGATTTGGCAATGTTCTCCAAACTCAACTGTGTTTTCAAAAACAAATGGCTATTGAACAAACATGTACATGGTGAGATTCTGCTCCTTTTCCTCAAAACTTGGCAGCACGCTCAAGTATCCCAAGATTCTCACTCTTATCTGTTTTTGAAGACTTTCTCCCTCTCTGTGAGACTTCCCCCAACATGAACGTTGACATTGTTCCCACCCTACTCCCCACCGCTCCTGGAATGCATTCTCTCATTTGTTCTCAGGATCATGCCCCAAGGCACATCTCTCCTCCACCCACTTTCGTCTGCCCCTGCTGTCATCGCTCTGCAGAAACCTCTTGCCAGGGCATGGGTGCTTCACACAAGTCAGAACTCTTCATCCCAACTCACCATGCCTCAAGTCTTCCCTAGTATTGTAAAAAGCACAACAATTTGCTCAGGGGCTGGGGCCAAAAACCTGCATTTGTGTTATATGAATCATCATCCCCACCTTCACTGATAATGTGACGCTTGCTACTCTGAGCTGTCATTTGTCATGCTCACCTGCACCACTGTAGATCCCACCTATGCCTCTTCTCTGCCTCCCAACTGTGGTCTACTCTCCCCAAAGCAGTCAGGATAACCTCTTAAATTAAGAGCACTGCACTCACCTGCTCAAGATCTACCACTTAGTTACCCACCAAACTGGAATAAAAATTTAACTTCTTCCTGTGGCCTGCAAGCTACAAGCCCTGTGATACAGGACACTGCCTGTGTGACCTCACCGCCTGCATTCTTTCCCTCATTCCTCACTCAGCCCACTCTGGTTGCCTTGCTGTTCCTTAAACACATGGAACATGGTACTTTCCCAGACACGTGGCATTTGTCCTGCTGCCCTAATGCCAGAGGTCCTCCTCTTTGCTTCACTCGGGTCCCTGTTCAAATGTTACCTCTCTGAAGAGACTCTTCTTGATCATTCTATCTAAATAGTAAGTCCCTCTATCACTTTTTATCCCTTTACCCTGCTTTATCTTCTGAAATATTCATTTACCTAGAAAAATGTCTTCCGCACTAGAACAGTAAGCTCCTAAAGGCAAGAATTTTCTTCAGCCTGTTCTCTCCCCTACCCCAGCACTTACCACGTGGCACAGAGGAGATGTCCAGTGAGAGGTGATGAAATGAGCATGAGCAACTTCTCGGCAGCACTTAGTATTCTGCCCACTCTCATCCATCCTGCCTTCTTTTATTCCTCTCTCCTGGTTTTCCTCCTATTGCTTGTCTAGCCACAGCTCTGGGGACTTCTCCCTTAAATGCTCAGACTCTTTACAGATCTATCTTCCATCCATTTTTCATTCTACACACTTTCTCTGCATTTCCACAGCCACTCTTAATTCCTTACCTCTAGCTCAGATTCATGCTCCAATCCCATATATCCAAATGATTTCCAGCCATTGTCACTCTATCTCAAAGGAACATCATGCTTGACTTGTCTACAATGAACCCCCTCCCCCTTTCAGCCCAGCTCTCCCTCCTGCATTACCTGTCTCTACATATGGAAGTACCACTCCTCCTGACTCTTCCTAGCATGTGCTAAGTAGTCCAAATGGCTTGCAGCTCCATGAAAAGGCCTGTGTCTGCTCCAGTGCCCACTGAAGGGTTTCTATTCAAGCACACAGCACAAGCCTCCTTTCCTAAATTCTAACTGGATGCTAAAGGAGTAGGTAGTGACCTAAGTATTCTTTCCTTCCAGGCCATGCTGTTGACTCTCCTCTATAGGTTTTCCATAGGGAAGAGTAAACCAATCCCAACCACTTGAATAGGAATTATGATTCCAATGGTAAAGTCTTACCCATAGGAATTCTATAGAGACGATGCAACGGTAAGGACACAGCTATAGCTTAGCAGGCTAACCAGCAAAGCCTTTCCAAGTTACTACTAGTACTATTCCTCTGGACAACTTCATGAGCAGGCACAAGAGGTCAGCCGGGAAGGATTAACACCAATCATCCAAGGAACAGAGACTTTAGGGCAGAAGTTTTCAATCATGACACATCAGAACTCCCTGGGAAAATACAGCCTGGGACTTGGCCTAAATCTATACTGAATCAGTCTCTGCTTGTGAACCAGATGGTTTTGCTATTGCTCCCCATCACACCAAGATTGTGCCTTGTATGTGTGCATGCGTGCACATCGCATCTGCATGTGTATACTGAGGTGTGTGTGTGTGGGGGGGGGGAACCAGAAATCCCTCCTGCTGCCTTTAATAGCAATTGGTCTATGGTGAGAAAAGCAATGGCAACACTTTAAAATGTAATGATTATTAAACTCAAGTGTGTGTATTTACTTTCCCTTAATAGGTTTCTCTTAAAGATGTGATAATTTCAGGAGCCCACTTTTTTTGAAAAACAGGACCACATCCTGTGTACAGACCAATTTCTAAAGATGCTTTATAGAAATAAGAAATATCTTACCAAAGTTACTATTGCACATTCAGCTGTTAGCTGTGCAGCACTAAAGAGAGTACGAACAAATCTGTAAATAAGTTTGTGCTCAGGGTCATGCTCAAAGTATTCCTCTGGAACCTTTTCTCGCTGAAAGAAGAAAAGATGCAATATAACTATCCACTGAAGAAAAAAATTTTATGTACTTCTAAGACAGCAGTCCTTGTATTGGTGCCCACATGTCCCTTAAAATAATTCTGATTGGTGACATGTCTATACTCTTTTAAATATAAATAGTGAGATTTTAAAATACCATAATGATTCAATACCCATCATCATTCATTAAGGAAAAACACAGGCACAAGCTCAGAAAATTTATATGTTCCTTTCCAATCCCCCCCAGATTTCTATCTAAATGTAAATGATTTTTAGACCCCGAAGTCTTATCAACTGATAATATGTCATATTTCTGTACAATAAACTTTTTTTTTTTTTTGAGACTGGCCGCACTGCGCTCAGCCAGTGAGCGCACCGGCCATCCCTATATAGGATCCAAACCTGCGGCAGGAGCGCTGCTGCACTCCCAGCGCCGCACTCTCCCAAGTGCGCCACGGGCTCCGCCTTCTGTACAATAAACTTTGAAAATATTTTGTTTCCTGTAACCATAAGGCTCTAAGGCTGCATATCCAACACAACAGTCATGAGCCACATGCAGCTACTGAACATCCAAAAGTTGCTGATATGTGCCTGAACAAGCGAATTTTAAAATTTGTATGACATCTTAACTGACTTAAATACTTTTATAATTATCTTCATAGAGATCTTGCATATGTTGTTTATTTACAAATATTTACATTGTTTGATGAGATTGAAAATTATCTTTTAAAAAGATATTTTCTGTTATTTTACATTTACTCAGCTCACTAATTAAAGGTGAAAGTCAGTTGTTTCTCTATCATATTCTTTATACAACCTTCCTTTTATAAGATGATAAGATATAACATGAGATGGGGAAGAAGACTTAAAGAAAGATCATTTTGACTTTAGCATGAAATAAACACCACTCTGAGAAAAATACAACTTCAAAAAAAGTGACACTTACTGTGAGTGGATGTGATCGCTCATCAAAAATATCCAGGGATCTATCTGCATCTCTATAAAATAAGAATATGCATTTAAAAATTAATTCAGGAACTGTTAACATCTTAGTAAAATATCTGCTGGGAATAGAGTGCGGGGTGGTGGGAGAAGCCTAACCTTTAACAAAACAAACAGTTTTACAAATTCTTCTCCCAGATTCTAGCCTTCAGAGGGTTTCTGAACTCGTTTTACTCAACAACTCAACCACTGCGAAGTCTCTTCTACAATGACCAGCCAGAGGTGCCTCTAACTATTGGCCCTCCGTAACAGGAAATGGTAACTAACCTAATGTATTTTCCACTCCTCTAACCTCACATGGAAACACACAAGAATATTTTACAAAGCAGTAGTGGTGGGCAAAAAAGTCTTTAGAACTTTAATGAATGTGAATATGAGATTTAGATTTCCCAGGTTCTTCCTCTCTTTAGTTTTCTATATCATATGTATTTCTTGCCTTTTTTTTTTTTTTTTTTTTTTTTTTTACAATAGTCTGAGTTAAAAACTTAATTGCCTTTTTATTTTAAAAGGGGATCATCTTTTCATTTAAAAGTTCATCAAACTAATACTCCGTGCTCATTTAAACCAGTGTTTCTCCAAGTGGGGTCTGTGGATCTCTGGAGATCCCCTGGACTCCTTTTCTAGGAGGCCCATAAGGTCAAAACTGTTCTTATAGGAGCTTTTTCACTGTTTGACATATACAGTGATTCTATAAAAGCAAAAGTGGGTAAAGCACTGGTTTCTCAGGATGACTTAAGGCAGTGGTACCAAATTAAACTAGTAGTCATTCTAGTCTTCATTGCCACTTGCAGTTAAAAAATATAATGACAAAAAAAGCCTGCTTCGGGCCGGCCCAGTGGCACACCGGATAGTGCGCCGCTTGGGAAGCGCGGCGGCGCTCCCGCCCGAGGGTTCGGATCCCACATACAGACCGGTTCCTGCTCACTGGCTGAGCAAGGCGCGGGAGCAACACTGAGGGTTGCAATCCCGTTGCCGGTCCCCGGTCCGGTACGGGGGCAACACTGAGGGTTGTGATCCGTTGCTGGACACGGAAAAAAAAAAGACAAAAGACAAAAGACAAAAAAAAAAAAAAAAAAAAAAGCCTGCTTCACTTAAGACTGTCCTTGTAAAACTTAAAACTAATGGTGTTACTATGTTTTGACCTTTTTAATATTCTGAATAAGTTGAAATTTCACATAAAGCACTTCTGCCTATTGAAGTATTTGTGCTTTAGCCGTGAACTGAGCAAGCAGTTTTTCATAAAATACGATTTTTACTTCAAAGTAAAACTGTCATTCTCAAAAATAATGAAGTGAGCCTGTTGCTTCAAGAAAAATAACAAGTATTTGCTGCCAGTGACAAAATTCAAGCTTTCAAGCTAAAAATTCGGATTTTGGAAAACTTGTAGCTTCTACTGTAAACTTTAAAGACTTTTTGATAAGACTGGTGGTGATACTAACAAAAGCAAGTCATCATTGGCACTATAAAGAAATGTGAACCAGTATTTTCCAAATGACCAATGCATAATATAAAAGCACGTATAGGGCCGAGCCCATGGTGCACTCGGGAGAGTGCGGCGCTGGGAGCGCAGCAGCACTCCCGCCCCGGGTTCAGATCCTATATAGGGATGACCGGTGCGCTCACTGGCTGAGCGCGGTGCGGCCGGTCTCAAAAAGGACAAAAAAAAAAAAAATCCATTTGCTGTACAAGATCAGTGAGTATTAATGTAAACAACTTCATTGATATGATGTAAAATTCCACTGTAACTAATTTAAACTAGCACTTGTGGAGTTCTGGTGTAGTATGAAATCATATCCACAACTATCTGAAAGCTTTAAAAATATATCTTTTCCCAACCATATATCTGCATGAGACTAGGTCATCTTATTGCTTCTTCAAACAAATTGCAAAAAAAAAAGAGATATGAGAATCCAGCTGTCTTCTATTAAGCCAGACATTAGAGATTTGCAAAAATGTAAATAAATGACACATTTTTCACTCAACTTTTTTGTTGCGAAAAATAGTTATTTTTCAAGAAAAAACATCATTCATGTACCAATGTGGTTCTCGGCTTCTCAGTCAGGGTGATTTTGTCCCCCAGGGGACATTTTTGGTTGTCACAATGTGTGTGTGTGTGTGCGCGCACGCGCGTGCGTGTGCGAGTGTGCGCTGGCATGTAGTGGGTAGAGGCCATTGATGCTGCTAAACACCTGCAATGCACAGGACAGCTTCCCAGCCCCCACAACACAGAATTATCTAGCTCAAAATATAAATAGCACCAAGGGTGAGAAATGTTGTTTTAACATACACTTGATTTTTTTTTTAATTCTCTAATTTCTAATACAGTAAATATCAATATAATCCACTTAAACACTCTTTGTTTGAGGTCTTTGATAATTTAAGAATTAAAAGAGTCTCAAGGACAAAAACCAAAAATACCCACACACACAAATAATTCATTTCAATATTGTAATAAAAGCACTCTACAACTTATGATAGATATAGTTATGACCTAATACTAAACTTGATATCATGCAAAGTAATTAGCTGGAATAAAAGAGCTCACCTGTTCTTTATGTGGTAATATATTGCTAAAGTCACACTGTGGAGAAAAAAAAAATTACTTGTAACAACTAATTTTTTCATTTGTTACGCCCGAAGACATTTTTTTAAAAGGGGAGAGGGACCTTCCCAGAGGCCCTGAAATCCTCTAGTTCAGAATAGTACCATAGGGGCACTTCCTCCTTGTTTTAGTTGTTTAGCTTTTAGCAAAAATAGGAGAACCAAAATACTAGGCAACACAGTTAGAAGACATGTGTCTGTTAATTATTACACATAAATTACATATTTTCCATCATTTGTCCTTCTACCCACAGAACCGTTCATACTGTGTGCAAGTTACATCTATTTGTACACATGCTTAATTCAAGTCATTCAGTAGTTTTTATTGATTATTTTTTAAGTGGTTAGGCCCTGCATTTCAGTTGATTTAGTTTATTATCCACCTACCCACCCATTTTTTTCATTATTTCCCTAGAAGTAAATAATGAAGGTGCTTTATAACAAAATCATTTAAAATCACTTTTGCATAATTATTAGAAAATTTATTAGCAAATATAAGTGCCTACAAAATCAATGATAGGCCTAGCTATCTTGAAATAAGCAGTGTGAACAGTGCAGCATAACACTACACAGTATAATAGTAATGGCCAGTATTCCCAAATTAGTTTAAATGAACAGATACAACTCTTCAGATACTGTTACTGTAGTCCTAAGTTATCCACAGGTGCTGTATATTAGGGAACAAAGGGGTTCTTTTAGGTGAGTTAAATAATCCCATTTGCCCTCGCTGTCTAAAAGGAAGCTTGAAATAATTGAGGGAAGGCAAATCTGAATTTTAAAAGTAGGTCTATACAATACTAGAACTTTAAAAGAAGCCTGTAGCATTAGTAGCATCAAAAATGGATACTTCTATAGTGCTCAAGCAGTTTTGTCTCCAAATTGATTTTAAAATCACAGAATGTCAAGTTAAATGCTGAAAAGGACCCTGAGCCTTACATGACATTTAATCCAACAACCCATTTTACAAATAAGGAAACCAAGGCTTAAAACTGACTTGTCCAAGGTCCCACCAAATAGATGCAGATCTTTCCCCTACACTCTAATTAAGCAGTGGTTCCCAAACTTTGCTGCACATTGGAATCACCTGAGGTAGTCTAAAAGACTGACTTCCATCTTTAGACATTCTTACTTAACTGATACTGGGTATGAATTAGGTATAGGATTGTTTTTAAAGCTCCCTAGGTGATTCCAATGTGCAGCAAAGTTTGTGAACGACCAAGTCAGGGTTAAGATCAGAATCACTTGGGATGACGTGGCCATATAATTACACCTCCAGTCCTTCCTCAGTTTCCTAAAAGGCTTGTGAGTGCCTAGCAATGGAGAGGAAGGTGGAGATGGGAAGATGGAGGTGTTCGCAGACATACTTGGAAAAAGGTGAATTAAGTGATTCTATTATGGCTCACCATCCCATTGAGAACAATGCACTACTACCCATGATAAACATTTTTCATAATCTTTCCTAAAAGCCAATTTGCCCTATTAATTTGCTCAGTATACATTTCACCAACAGTGAATATACTGAAAGATCATTTTTAAAACTTAATGAGAGCAAATTAAAACTTACTGTATTTCCAAAAGTAGACTTCTAAAAATTAAACTAAGTTGGAGGAAAAAAGCATGAAATATATTTGTTTGAGCAAGGTTAATCTTTTAAAGTACTTTTGAGGGCCGGCCCGGTGGCACACTGGATAAGTGCGCCGCTTGGGAGGCGCGGCGGAGCTCTCGCCCGAGGGTTCGGATCCCACGTACAGACCGGTTCCCGCTCACAGGCTGAGCGAGGCGCGGGAGCAACACCGAGGGTTGCGATCCGTTGCCGGACACGGAAAAAGACAAAAGACAAAAAAAAAAATAAAAAAAATAAAAGTACTTTTGAATTATATACTGAAACATCAGAATCTTCTGAATTCAAAAGAAGCTGGGAACTATAGTCAAAGTACAGTGGTTTTTACTCATGCATTTAGGGCTTTAGCTGAATACAAACATTCAGTGATTACTCGAGAGGTGACAAAGCTAAGGACTTTGGACAGAGCTGCAGCCCAGTTTTTATTGGAAGACAATTTGATCTCAACTAATGTTATAAGTGAGAGAGGAAAGTTACATTGTTATTGAGAGTGAACTTGCAGTTTTTGATGTAGAATCTACTGATAATTTGCTAAGAAAAGCTGGTACGTTAGAAACAAAATTAAGTTTACAAGCTAATTATGTTTTTAGACTGAAAAAATCAGCAATAAGAATGTTAATACTCTTAAAGTGCCACTTTCTTAACTATGTTCTAAAAATCAACACTCATAACCCAAGGAGACAATAATGTTCCCTGGACAATCCAAATGGAGCTGTTTTATTGTTGTTGCTTTTTCAGTACTTGAAAGATTCATCTTAGGGTGTTTTGAAAGAGCATCTTCTGTGCTTTCAAAAGGCTCCACATCTGGACCTCCATATAAAATGAAATACTACAAATACCCTTGTCCCATCATTGTGGCCTATGAAGTGCTCAGGCATGATGGGGAAAATTTAAATGCTGCTACACTATGGTGCCAGTAGAGGCCAAGCTGTTTCTTCTTCCAACAGTAGTTTCCTAAGTAGTACACATAGTTTTAGGCCTGTAACTCATAAAGAACTATTTTTTTTCCTAGAAACATCCGATAAAAAGGGCACCTCTCCTTCTCATTATGTTCAGCAATGTCTTAACAAATACACCAAATAAAGAGCTACACTTTTTCTGGGATTCCTTATTTGCTAACTGGCTTTCCCTTCCATCATGAAGTCTAAGATTAAAATGGAAGTTGAAAATTCATATTTAGGTCCTTGAAAATCAATATATAATTGACATCAATGTCTTAAACTGATCACTGAAAAGGACAATTAAATGGCTGAAATTACCAAGTATAGCTGGGATGCTTTTGGCATAAGGGGGTCTGTCACTCGGCCCTTGGCAACCTAGTTGTACTCACCATTTTACTGTGGTTCTAAGATTAGGCTGGCTGACTGTGCTGTCATCTAGAAATATGGTTGAGCATGAGCTATACTTTTTAGTAAGCTGCCTTGGAGATACCTAAAGGGGAAGGGAAATAGAAGAAAATGTCACAGTAAGTTAAACCTATAAGAGTGTGGTTTTTTCCCTTGGTTAAAATGTCAAATGATAAAGCATTAAGTTATTTCTTATACTCTGTCAACTGCTTAAGTGTGATATCATGTGTAGCTCTATGGGAAACCCCCAGAGGCTCTTAACTTCTGGGTTATAAAATGCTGACCTAGATATGGTACCCGTAATCAAACTTGGCAAGCATCTAATATGAATTTCCTCTATTAATGTAAGAAGTTTAGATTAAGATATCAGTGCTTTTTTCTTAAGCAATGAAAAGCAGCTGAGAATTTCCATTTCTACTATTCATTTACTACAATAAAATGTAATGCCTTAAGTAATACTGGCACAAGAGCATTTTACTACAGTAAATAAAAAGTCTAATACTAAATTTACTAATTTACTAATACTAAACGTATTAGCTCAGGAGACAGTGTGATAAAACGAATGTTTTACAGTCAGAGGCTCTGTGTGCCAGGGCTGCCTGATCACTAACAAGCAAGGGGCCCTAGGTCCCTCTGGGCCTCCTTCCTTGTCCGGAGAATAAAAGAGTATTGCTTTAAGATTCTCTCACATCCAAAAAACACATGACAAAACAGCTTTGGGAGTTTAACTTCCACTTCACTTTGAAAGACGGCCATTACATTACTCAAATGAAAACGTCAGAGAATACTTTGCATTCATTTCAAAATGTTAATAATTAATTTTATTCTGTAAGTTGTATGACACACATCATGACACTTTCCTGCCTCACTCATGCCGTTCTCCGCCTAAAATGCCATTTTCTTCCTCCTGGGAGCAAGCTTGTCCCCATCGACCTGCTGAGACACCTTTGCCAGCAGCCACACCACAGACCGTTTCCCTGTCTGTATATTCATCCCCACTTATCACATGATGTCAGCTGCTTGCAGGTTACCCCCTCATGAGAAAATAAGCTCCTCCAGGGAAGGGAGAACTGTTATTCATCCTACCTCCAGCTGCAAAGCACAGAATTCAGGACAGATAAGGGAAGTCAACCGGTGTTGAACGAACTATGACTTAAAATCAATTACCATTTGGAAGGTAAATCCTACTACAGATATAAATTACTGAAAAATTATCTGCAGTGGTATTGATTGCAGAAGTGACAATGAACTTTTTGAGTCCTCTAGAGAACAAACTATCTTTAAAACACTTTAGAAGTATCCATTTATTTGTGGAGTGCAAGAATATAGCAAAAGTCAAATACTGAAACTGCCTAAAACTATGTGAAGACAATTCTTTTCCTTAAAAGTAAGACCAATAATCAAATCCCAATCACTGAATAGTTGAAAGTAATAGCAGCACTCTTTCAAAACCACAGAATACCAACAATTTTAATGCTCTTTTCTTATTAAACTAATTCAGATGAGCCTTCCTTCCTCCTCTTGGTATTTTCATCATGCTATCACACTCTCCCCACATTAGCCCCCTCCTCAAATACATGGAAGACAGGGTGCAGAGAAGATCTAGCTGACGCTTTTAAAAGTACACAGCATTTAAAAACTACCAGTAACCAATAATCAGAAATATCCAGAGTATGACACTGTTTTGCTTGTTTTAGATGTTTACTGAAAAGCCACTCACTCTTTATTAGCAAAATGTCCCAAGTGTTATATTTTTGAAAAGTATAACTATCTAGAAGACTAAATTCCCCTTCAAGCTAGAAATGTTTCAACTATCTCTAACCTCTGATATTCCTGGGTTTCAGCACCAAAAAAACAAACCGATATGTTTCTTAAGCTATTCAGTCAATGTGTGTACTTCACATTAAACGTGCATGTGTGTTAATGTGAACATGTATACTTTTATAATCTCAAAAAACAAAATGAAAATTGAAAAAAAATTGAAATTATTTAAAAACTTTTATTCTAAGTAGAGGAATGTACCTTTTAAGGTCACTATGATTGGGGTAATACGGCATAAACTATACCATTACAAAAGTCAATTCTGACAAAACCTATAGATGGGAATAAAAAGAAGAGGGAGGAAATGCACCAAGATAGGGACTAGTTGGTAGAGCTTTAGGTGACATTTTCTTCCATTTTCCTCTATTTAAAATTTTCTGTCATGAATGCATATTGGTTTACCTTCAAAGATATTACTTTAAAACATTTAAAACTTTTATTTAGATGTGTTCTTACAGCCCTCTGGGGCTCATCAGCAACTTATGGTCTACTGGCTAGATCCAGCCAAAGAAATACAACACTTTCTCATCAATCCAGGCTTACTCTAAACTCCTGCTTAAAGACAGATATTCATTCCAGGAAAATGGCCATTTCTGCCTCCCCACTCCCAACCAGGCCATTCCCAAATTTCATGGTGACCAAAAAGGTGAATGCAAAAACTCTCTGCTTACCAGTATAGAGCAGGCAATACACCACTCACTGCCAACCATTCAAACTTTTCAGTATCAATAGCATCCCTATGTCCCGAGACTAGCAGGTGGCAGAATTAAGCCTCTGAGCAAAACCTGGAATATAACAGCTGCCAATACATAACCTTCCCCTCATCATGCTTGAAAACTTACAACAATTATCCTTTATGACTAAAGCTTTACCAGTGCTGACTCACAGCCTCAATAAACTATACTGACCTAAACATAGGGATATAAAATACAAATATTAAAAACACCAGAGAGCAAAAATACTGATACTTTGCTGTTCAAAGGTATTATTTCAGGTGGTCACTAAAACAGAGAGGAACAAAGAACAGCATTTATCTTCATTCAGTCAGCACGAATGACAGAGCACAAAATTTTACAATCTCTAACCATAAAGAGAAAAGGGTACTTAGTAGGCTTAAGGTCAATGGCAAAGACTAGAAAGTAATCATACCTAGCAGTCTAGTTAGACACAACCCAAACCTTACTATCAAAGATCAAGTACCTGTTGAAAACCTATCCCCACCCACTGACTTTTCCCATTGTGCCTACTGCCTCTTACTTTAACCAATTAAAAAAAATGAAACCAAAGGTTTTTTTTGGTTTGTTTGTTTGTTTTTACAGGTTTTGAATATGGGTCTTAAGAATTAACAACTTTTAATTAACTTAATTTCTAATACTTTGTGCATTAAACTGTGCCATCTATGTTGCACGGTAAATGGCACAATATGGCAGGGTGTGTGGTTTGAAAAAATTCTTAAACAAAGCCTTAATTATATTGAATTTAAACTTAGATTTACACTTTAAATATAGGTTCTAGGTTTGGGTCAATCACAGTGGACTAACCACAAATGTATTTCCTCACCCTCTTCAAATCTCATTAAAATTAAAGACATAACATAAAGGTAACACAGAAGACCAAGAGACAGGATTGACAGCAGATGATTTTTCATAAATGTTTGAAAGAAAAATAGATAAAGGAGTAGCAACTGACACAGGAGAACAGAGGAAGCACAGCTGTGGTGCTATATAGAGTGACCGGGACAAGAACAAGCAAGCCAGTGTGTCTTGCAGAACCCAAGGCAGGCTCAGGACTCAGAGGCACATGGAACCTTGGAAGGTGGGGTGAAACACAAAAGCCAAGGGTCAGCTGAAACTCTGGTTTGAACCCCAAGTCGACCTGTCCTCCCATACTATACGGAATCTAGATGTGTATCTTCCAGAGATATTAAACCTGAGTGAGGGTTTCTGGCCTCAGAGAAACCAGTCTCAGAGACACCAAGACTAAAACCTGGGGGGGGGGGGGG